AAAAAAAACAAGCCTTCTTAGAAGCGGTATTTAATGAGTATGTCGGGAGTCAGATTTCGAAAGTTTGACTGTTTTCATTCCATAAGTGAAGTCAAACTACATCAACAGACCTGGAAGATCTAGGAAGATTCGAACCAGCTCCATGTTACGCCAAAAGCCACAAGTGGTTGACTAAAAGTGCTAGGGGAGCCCGATAATGACTTTGCGGGTCGGACTCGGAAACATAACTTAAACAGCAATTAGTTTGACCAGCTGAACCTGCTCGAGAAAAGTAGTACACTACGCTGCAAACCATTTTGTCTCAAATTCGTCAGTGTACGCCTTGCTTCTACAAATCCGTGGACTACTAGATGCACAGAACAGACGTCCTGGCGTTTTCTGCACTGAGATAACTGTTTTCTATCGATATTACTAGCGACATAATCAGTAGACAAACAAAATTAAACAGGTCTTAGAGACCAACGGTAAACTTAGGGTGTCATAGGAACAATGAGAGCGATTTACAATTTTTGTTAACCTACCAACACAGTGTCCTTCCCACCGACCACCGAAAAGCCCCAAGAGCTTCCTGAATGACGAGTGAGTTCAACAAGGGTCTCTCTGCCAGGTATGATGGGTGGTGGTTTGGGGCGCTCCAGAGGTGCGTTCGTCAAAGCACTTGGAGCAGGTGACGATGTGGCCACGGGTTTAGTGACGGCCTTGCTAGGTGATTGTGTGGCCGCTTTTCGGCGTGCAATTGTCAGACGAACACGTGTGGTGGACTGTTTCATCAAGGACAGCGTTGAGTCGTAATCGGTCTGGATCTGACCATTCACAGCCAGTATCCGATCGTTGGGGCACAGTTCACCATGCTAAGATGTAAGCAGAGAATGACTTGGGTGAAATTTGATGTTACACGTCCAAATGGAAATCAAGATGAAAGGCCGGCCTCCACTGGTAACGTGTAGTCCACCAGTGAGAGAACAGATTGTTATCTCATCAAGTTGAATGCACTAGAGTTAGCAGGCCTTTAGTAAAGGGAAGTATCAAAGTCTTATACAGTTTACACCAGACATGACAGGAAATGGGTCGGAAAAATAGTTACCTGAGCAGCCGCACCGTTTGGAGCCAAATCGGACACGAACACACCGGGCTTGTCTTGTGGTCCATAATTCACAATGAAAATTCCATATCCGTTGCTATTCTGGTTGTTCGTTAAGAAAGACGGACGATATAATTTTTTCAAAGATCAAAGAATTCGATGCAAAGAGCGGCACAAATTACTTAATATTCCAACTCTTCGTGCACAACGTGGTTTATACCACTAAGGAGAAACACATAAACCTGGCTATTCCAACATGAACGTGCAAACCCTAGAGTGGACCCTGACTTGTTGCCCACCAGCGTATTTCGTAACACGCAGTAAGAAAGAACTACAAGGTTACAGATATGTTTATAAGTAACGCAATAAATTCTATCCAATGTTGGGCCTGTAGAACTGCTTCTGATTT